CCTGTATTTCAGTTACTGAGCATTGCTGGCAGAAATCACAAACTTGTAGATTGCTGCTAGGACAAATTTGTAGTCCCCAAATCATTTGGACCCTCGGTATTCACCAGCTATTTTTCTTTCCTTCTTTCCTTCTTCCTTCCTTCCTTTCTTTTTTAAGATTTTATTTATTTGACACAGAGTGAGAGAGAGAGAGCACACAAGCAGTGTCAGGCAGAGGGAGAGGGAGAAGCAGGCTCCCTGCTGACCTGGGAGCCCGATGTGGGGCTCGATCCCAGGACCCTGGGATCATGACCTGAGCCGAAGGCAGACGCTTAACTGACTGAGCCACCCAGGCGCCCCACCAGCTGTTTTTCTCCATGTCCCTAGACAGCTTCTTCCGTTCTCTATAACTTTGCTATCAGTCCCTCTTACCTCTTTAGTAGACTGCCTCTCTTCCTATTTGAGGCTGTCACATGTGATTTCCTTCCACTTCCTGTTCTAATCCCTACCCCTAATACCATATTAATCTGCATTTTCATTTGTCTTTACTTCCTTCTCTCCAGTGTTAGTAAGAGATATATTCCTCTCCTTTCCAAGGTTAAGCCCTCTCTTTATGTTTTGGATCCCATCTCTTTCTGCCTGTTAGGGGTCTCTGTCACTTCTTTCTCTTTTTCCATCCTCTATCCTTACTACTTTCTTTGTTTAAGTATATTCATGTCTTTTCCATATTTAGTAAAACAAATCCTTCTCACAAAGTCTTCCTATGGCTTCTACCCTCTTTGCCTTTCATAGCTGAATTTCTTGAGAAGTCATGTTTTATTACTTTTTCATTCACTATATTTTGACTTAATGACTCTACTATTTCAATAAAACTCTTGTCATCACCAGTCTCCTAATGGCTGAATTCAATGGTCTTTACTTAATTCATCCTTCATTTACTTCTCTGTTACATTGAAGCTATTGACCACAGTATTTTGAAACTGTTTTCTTTACTTATGTGATTCTACTTTACTAATTTTTCAGCTTATCTCTTAGTCTCTTGCTTCCCAGACTTTCTCAAAATTACTTATTTAAAAAACTCAAACCTCCTGAGCAGTTAAAAAATAATGTTTGAGGGTGCCTGGGTGGCTCAGTCGGTTGGGCATGTGCCTTTGGCTCTGGTCATGGTCCCAGGGTCCTGGGATCGAGTCCCGCATTGGGCTCCCTGCTTGGCGGGGAGCCTGCTTCTCCCTTTCCCACTCCCCCTGCTTGTGTTCCTGCTCTCACTATCTCTCTCTCTGTCAAATAAATAAATAAAATCTTAAAAAAAAAAAAAGTAATAATGTTTGAAATTTTTCAGACTTTCCAAAGGGTTGCAAGAATAGTACAGTGAACACCAACTAAGTTTGCCATATTTTCTTTGTCTGCCCCTCACTTGCTCCATCCCTTCCATGTATATGTATATTTATGCATATTCAAAATTTTCATTCTTTTGCTGTACAATTTGAAAGTTAATTGTAGGTATCATGGTATTTCACCCTTATTTTCTTTAGTTTGTATCTCTTAAGAGTAAGGGCATTTTCACATAAAATCACAGTGTAATTATCACATTTGGGAAACTTACCATTGATAAACAGTTGCTGTTTTCTAATATATCGTCCATACTCAGTATATCTTTTATAGCTGTTTTATTTTGTTTTTAATATTCGGGATTTAGCCAAGGATCACATATGCATTGAGTTGTCCTATCTCTTTAGTTTCCTTTATTCTGGAGCCATTTCCCACCCTTTTCTTTTGTCTTTCATGACATTTACATTTTTTGAAGAGCTCAGGCCAGTTGTTTTGCAGAATATCCCTTAATTTGGATATGTTTCATTGTTTACTCATGAAAACACCTAAATTTTAAATTTAGGTTAAATACTTTTTGCAGGAATATTATGTTCTCAGTGTATGGTATAATAGGGATATGAATATTCTATCCTAATAATCTTTTACCCAGTGGTTTTATCATCCATTGTTTCTTTTTTTTTTTTTTTAAAAGATTTTATTTATTTATTTGAGAGAGAGAATGAGATAGAGAGCATGAGAGGGGGGAGGGTCAGAGAGAGAGAGGCAGACTCCCTGCTGAGCAGGGAGCCCAATGTGGGACTCGATCCCGGGACTCCAGGATCATGACCTGAGCCGAAGGCAGTCGCTTAACCGACTGAGCCACCCAGGCGCCCTCATCCATTGTTTCTTATCTAAATCAAATATTACTATGGTGATTACAAAATGGAGACTTTTCTATTTTGCCATTTTGTTTCTATATTGTCATTCTATAAGGAGCTTTTTATACTTCCTTTTTTAAATTTTAATTTTTTAAGAGTCAGTATGGACTTTTTATTTTCAGTGTGTTATCCATTTCTTTCATTATTCATTTGGTTCTCAAATTGTCCCAAATTTTGCTACAGAGAACTCTTTTAAGATGGCTTCTATGTCCTTGATATGTCCTTGTCAGTTTTTGAGTACTTCCTGGTATAATAGAGTGCTCCGGATTTCCCTTGCACTTTCCCTAACTCTGGCTTAGAACCATCTTTTTCTCTAAGGAACCCTGGTTTCTTTTGGTAGAGAAACCAAGATCTGGGTGCCAGCTATGCTCCCTACTACTAAAGTGTCATTGTTTCTGGCTCTTTCAGTGGGTAGAGCTAGGAGGTTTTTCTTTTTAAATCATGGCTTCAGGGGCACCTGGGTGGCTCGGTTGGTTAAGCAACTGCCTTCGGCTCAGGTCATGATCCCAGGGTCCTGGGATCGAGTCCCGCATCGGGCTCCCTGCTCTGCGGGGAGCCTGCTTCTCCCTCTCCCACTCCCCCTGCTTGTGTTCCCTCTCTCGCTGTGTCTCTCTCTGTCAAATAAATAAATAAAATCTTTAAAAAAAAAAAAAATCATGGCTTCATATTGATATCCCTAATTCCAGTCCAGTTCCATAGGGCTTTTCTTATCTCAGTCCATATTTACATCTCTGGTTTTCCACAGTGAGAAGCCTGGTAGTAACATCAATAAATTTACTCATTTGCTCAGTTGTACAATATATGCATAATAGTTTGAGAATTACAATATCAGTATTATTAGCAGCTACAAACCTACTTAGTGTGGCATAAGATTTCTTTGCAATTTTTGTTATGCTTACATATATGTCATTAAGAGTGTGCTACATAAAGTTATTTAAATATCTTTTTTCTCCTATGGTAAAATTATCAGGGTAATATTCAGTTACATTTATATATTTCTGTTGTGTTCAGTTTTATTTCCCTCCCCATCCTTGTTGATTTAATTTTAGTTTTGGAATGTATAAAACATTACCATGGTTCAGAATTCAAAAACCTCCATTTTATAATCACAATAATATTTGATTTTGGTAAGAGAAAAAAAAAATTTTTATTTAGGTAAGCTGAAACCATTGAGGTTTTACTCCAAAGATGTACTCAGAAGTCTAATCCCATTACTTAATCTTCCCACTGTCATTAGCTTTTGGTTTATCTTAGTTGTGTTCATTATTGAGGATATAAGGAGATACATATACATATTCTTGTTTCCCCTTTCTTACACAAAAGGTAGTATATGTGATACTGTTATGCCATATATGCTCTTTTGCACCTTGCTTTCATAGAGACATTCCCCATTCTTTTTATAGCTTTTTTTTACACATCAGGTAGGTAGTCCATAGGTTTTTATCCAGTATTCTATACATGGGCATTTAGGTTGTTTTTAACATTTCACTTTTATAAATAATATTGCAACTAATAACCTTGTGTATATGCATTTTCATGTTACTGGAGATGTACCAGAACTTAGTCCTAGAATTTAGACTTAACATGTCCAAAAACAATGCATTGTTTTCCCAAAACTCTTTTCTTGACTTCCATTTCCTGTTATTGAATGATAACCATTGTTCTATTACTTATGCAGAAACCATGGTATCATCATTTCTTCTCAACCTAGTCCTCAAGTGCTGATAATACATCTTTATCTTTTCTTTTTTTATTTTTTCCACCTTCATTTTCCTTTTCCTTTTTTTTTTTTTTAGAGGGGGTTGAGTAAGGGTGGAGGGAGAGGGAGAGAATCTTAAGCAGCTGCCATGCCCAGCGTGGAGCCCATTGCCAGGCTCAGTCTCACACCCTGAGATCATGACCTGAGCTGAAATCAAGAGTTGGACACTTAACTCACTGAGCCGCATAGGTGCCCCCCAACTTCATTTTCTTAGTTACAGGTCTTACTTTACTTAGTTTACTGTACTAGCCTCCTAACTGGTCTCATTTCTTCCCTAAAACTCCATACTGCTATTAAACTGTCTTAAAGGGTTATTCATTTTCAGAACCTCAACATTTTTCCTCTGCCTCTAAGATAAGATTCACACGCTTTTGCCTAGATACCTAGGCCTTCCATTTCTGGTCTCCACCTACATCACCAGCCTAATCTCTAGCCACTTCTAACCATATTGAACTACTTATAGGTTCCCTAGACATGTCCTGTCAAGCCTCTCTGGCCCTGGAAATGCTTTTTTTTTTTTACCCTCTGCATTTCATTTTAATAATTTTTTATGATACAGTTTAGGTATTGCCACCTCCAGGAACACTTCTTGCCATGTCAGATGTAGTTGCTCTGTTCTCCCAAAGCACCTTGTGCTTACCTGCAGTGACTTCTCTCTCTTCCCCGAGACTTTGGACTCCTATAGGCTGGAGACTTCTGTTAGTTCTTCTTTCTTATTATAGAGCCTGGAGCATAGTAGACATTGAACAGTTAGTGAATATATGAATAAACTTCACCTATTTACATTTTTTAAAAAGGTATCTTTAGGTTGTCATTTACATGTTCACTGCAAAAAATCCGAACAGTGCAGATATATATGAGAAGTGAATGTCTTCCATTACTCCTATCTCAGTCTCTAGTGGGAACTATGAGTAATAGTTTAATATTGGCAAGAAAAGCACAAAATAGATTTTCCAGTTACTATAGAATAAAAATGTCTACTGTTTTGTTCTTATAGATCATCTCTTTTCCTTTAGGCAATGATAGTAAGAAATGCTAAAGATACAGCTCATACAAAAGCAGAACGGAATATTCTGGAGGAAGTAAAGCATCCCTTCATTGTGGATTTAATTTATGCCTTTCAGACCGGTGGAAAACTCTACCTCATCCTTGAGTATCTCAGCGGTCAGTACACTCAGTTTGGTGTAATTATTTGCATTTGCTTCAGAAACTGGGTCAAACATTATTTTCCATTGGAAAATGCTTTTTCCCCAATGTGATTAAATAGTTCTTAAAATTGACAAATACATTGACATAAGGAATTCGGATGTGACCATATGTTTCTTTTCGCAGACAAATATAAAGGAAACTTTAACGGTTAAGTTTTTTCCCCATCTGTAAAATTTTATCTTAGTCCTAATCCTTTTGTAATCAATTACTTAAAATAACAAACACCTAATTGATACAGAGCCATCACATTGACTGCACTTGGGTAAGATACTATAATTCAAATGAACCATCAAAGCCATTTCTTTCTCAACTCAAATGGAAAACTTATTGAGAGTATTTAAGATATTGAGTATTTTCAAAATTGCATCTCTAAACAGAAGAATTTTTTGGTTGAATGTAGCCTTTTTGATAGACTGTGCAGTTTATGTAGGAAGACATCCACAATTTCCAGGGCTTACTACCTCCTCGAAACTTGTTGCTTCTTACCATTTCTAGATCACAGGTATCTGTTTCCAGCCAACATATTTGAGTTTTCTGAAAAGCAGGTTTCACAATGGCCTGTAACATGGAACAGAAAGCTGCAGAATTTAGCAACTTTTTTGACTGTTGTTGCTATTTTTTGGTTAACTTTATTTTGACATGATTTCAGATTTACACAGAAAAGTTGCAGAAATAGTACAAAGACTTTCCACATACCCTTCACCTAAATTCCCCAAGTGTTACCATTTTACAGGTGTTTTGTTTCATCCTTCTTTTCTCTCCCTCTCTACATATATGTATACACATGTATGGGTATGTATATATGTATGTGTATGTATGTACATGTACATGTATACATATATATACATGTACATGTATATACATAATTTTTTTCTGGATTGCTTAAGAGAGTGTTGCAGACATGATTTCCCATTACCCCTAAATACTTCAGTGTATATTTTCTAAATTCAATGATAGTATCTTAACTCTACTAAAATTATCAAAACTGGAAATTAACAGATACAGTAATATCTCTCAGTTTCCTTTAATCTAGAACAGTTCCTCAGTCTTTGTCTTTTGTGACCTTGACATTTTTGAAGAATATAGGCCACTTATTTTGTAGAATGCATCAATTTGGGCTTATGGGATGTTTCCTCAAGATTAGATTCAGGTTATGCATTTGGGGAGGACCATCAAAATGACATTGTGTCCTTCTCTGTCAGATCAGGAGGTACATGATGTTTATATCTTTGTCCCATTACTGTTGATATTTACTTTGATCACACTTACAAGGTGGTGTTGGCCAGTTTTTTCCCTGGTGAAGTTTTCCCTTTGTAATGAATAAGTATCTTGAGATACATTGGGATTATTGAAATATCTTGTCTCTCATCAAGCTTTCACATACAGTTTTAGCATTCATTGATTGTTGCTTGAAACAATTAACTATAATGATTGCCAAGTGATTTTTCTTATTCCATCGTGCCTCATTCATTATTTGGCATTCTACTGTAACAAAGAGCTTTCCCTTCTCTCCCATTTTAAAACTTAATTTATTGATCTCTTCATTGATTTACATCATTGTGGGCTCATGGATTCTAAGATTATTCAGTGGGATATAATTCTTTATTATCATTATTTATTTTGATATTCAAAACAGTGCCATGCTTTTAACAAAGCTGCTGCCGGGTTCCTCTGGATTAAGAGATCTGAAAATATGGAATAAGGGTGTTCACTAATTTTAATTTGTAAGGGTGGCTTAATTATATACTAATGTTTTTCTGCTTAGGGTAAAATGTGAGAGAAGTTTTAACCAAGATTATTTTTTTAACCTCAGGTCTGGAATCTATAACTATTTTGAAGTTAAAAATGTACAAACCTGGAACTCCAAAATACGTATTTCACATAAAAATAAGAACACTACTAAAAATAGAATCCTGAAGACTTAGTTTTAAACCTGTATTTTTTAGAATCTGTTTTTTATTTTTAAGGGACTGATATCTTTTTTTTTTTTTTTAAGATTTTATTTATTTATTTGAGAGAGAGAGAATGAGAGAGAGCACATGAGAGGGGGGAGGGTCAGAGGGAGAAGCAGACTCCCCGCCGAGCAGGGAGCCCGATGCTGGACTCGATCCAGGGACTCCAGGATCATGACCTGAGCCGAAGGCAGTCGCTTAACCAACTGAGCCACCCAGGCGCCCAGGGACTGATATCTTTTAACTGTGGTTAGAAAGGGGTTGGAAATGAAGATTGTTTTATTTCTAATATCTTTTCCTTTTCTTTACAGGAGGAGAATTATTTATGCAGTTAGAAAGAGAGGGAATATTTATGGAAGACACAGCCTGGTAAGTGAAATTTTTGTGGTTGCAGGGATTCAGGTAATGATTCATATAATTAAAAGCAAAGTCCTGTTCCCACTGTGGGCAGCCAAATGATTCAATAAATTGTTCTGGAGCCAGTCAGTCACTCAGGACTTCAAGGGGGAGAAGCATCTTTGGGGTGGGGCAGCTTTTGGAGGTCACATCATTCCTTTGCCCCCAGGCCTTGGGTGGAACGCTCTTCACGCCAGTTCCTAACAGAACCATTCTCACTGGGGCTTTCTTTCCTTGAATTGGTAAGCTGCCTGCCTTGGCTGTGGGTGAGTGTGGTTTTCCGGTGAAACTTTATGTCTGGAACAATGGAAAGTATCAGAAATCATCTCCTCTTTTTTTTTAGACTTTCCAGTTCCCAAGGTGCAGTCTTAGGGAGGTGATAAGCCGGCACACATCATCTGTGGATTGATTCTATGGCCAGGATGGGATCTACCCTTATATTTCTTAAGATGGCATCTGCTTCAAATTAAAAATATATACATCCTTTTGTGAGATGACAGTATTGGGTAACAATAAATCAGTTTATCCTACACATTAATTGAATAGAAAACACTTATATGTTTTTTCTACCTTAATTACCAAACTGCATTCCATTGTTTAATTTCAGGCCTTTTCTAACACAGAAGCTGCATTTAAGAGCCTTAGGGATGAAGTACCCTTTTTTGGAGGAGGCTCTCTGAGCCGTGTTGGAGGCTGTATTTGTGGTCCTGCTGGCTGTGAAACTGCCTCAGTCCTCTAGGACACACCCTCTCCATCCTGGAGTAATCTGCAGGATTGCAACATTGTTATGCAGCCAGTATTGCAGTGCCTTGTGCTTTTCGAATCCAGACAGGGTTGACTCAGCCCTTTATTCTTTTGAGGTAGATAAATTTGAGTGTCACACAGTTTATAGTTGTGGGCTGGCTGGCAAGAGGGAGGGCAGATACTGTGGGCATGAACTGTATATAATTATGCAGCTATATTAAGGGATGAGCGGGCTTCTAAGGGTCAGGTTATTTATAAGGTATCTTTTGAAACTAAGACTTGCTGTCTGAGAATAACAAAGTTCCTACGTCCTATGGGATTTTAAAATTGGGGGTGGGTGGGAGTAATTTGCTCCGATCTGAATGACTATTGGCCTAATTCCTACACAGAACAAAAACCAGTGACAGTTTGGCATATTCTGGACTTCTTAGCAATTAGCAGTATGTTCTAATGATGAAATAAAACATTTTATAGTTTCACTAAATAAGTGAAACATAAATGTCACCATGCCTTTTGGCAGCATCCTATGCCATCTCTTTCCCCCATACCCACCCCCATCCCCACTAATTTGGTCTTTGGTGCATGTCTATTTCTTTCAAGGAATTTTACTCCATACATAAACTGCTTTGAGTATATTACTCTTTTTAATTTTACTAAATCACTTTTGTTTCCAGCTTTTACTTGGCAGAAATCTCCATGGCTTTGGGGCATTTACATCAAAAGGGGATCATCTACAGAGACCTGAAGCCGGAGAATATCATGCTTAATCACCAAGGTGGAGATATACCGTAAACAATTCTATAGTAAATAATCATCTTAAAATCCTCCCACACAGGTCATGGTCATTTACAAAGCCCCATAGTCATGTATCTATTATTATACATTCCTCCCTCAGAATTTATGGCATCATAATACTTGCTGAGATTTAGGTATTTAGATATTTGTGATTGATGAGATTAGAGGGAGTTAGGAATAACTGGCCACTCAGCTGTGTTTTTCAGTTTAGTCCTTGCTCTCTATAGCTTGTCGTTCTTTTGAAATCTTTACATAACATGTGGTGAGCTAAAAGCCAGTCCAAACCTTAATTTTGGTTTCTTCCTTAAATTGGAAAGCAGATCTTAACCCTATAAATTGAGTTTTTCTTAATGATAAAAATACATAAATATTAGAAGCAATGCTTTTTATTTATTTTTTTAAAAGATTTTATTTATTTATTTGACAGAGAGAGACACAGTGAGAGAGGGAACACAAGCAGGGGGAGTGGGACAGGGAGAAGCAGGTTTCCCGCTGAGCAGGGAGCCCGACGCTTAACAACCGAGCCACCCAGGCGCCCCAGAATTAATACTTTTTATGGTAAATTTTATTAATGCTGTAAAAAAGGATCAGAATTGAACCAAAATATTTGATGTAGCCTTGGAAAGAAAATGTTTAGTAGGCATCAGTTTATTCTTGCTGTTTGTAAAAACAAACATAAAAATCAGAAAGGCTAATATTCTGTACAGGTGTAGGTAGAGCAAATTGAGTCTTGATTACAAGTGCATGTTGCTATAGACAGTTTGATTTATGCAAGAGTAATTTGGGCTAGGTAGACTCCACAGCTCACTCATACCCCAAAGGAGCAACCAGCTAACCAGGCTATCGGGGTGCTGGCAGCAGTTGCTGATCCTTCGATGTCTACAAAATGATACAATAGGTGGTTAAGGGTTTTAAATTCTTGGACAGGAAATGATGTGGACAACTGACACTAGTATGAATATGTTTCATATTGTGCTTTTCTTTCTCTTTTTTTTTTTTTAAGAGAAATGCTCTACTTAACCAAGAACATCGTTGTGAATCTATATATCTCTCTCCCTCCCAGTTCTGCTCCCATCCCCCCAAACCTGGATTCTGATTCTGAATTCTAAGGCAAAGGATAGAATAGGGAAATGACTAGTTAACTTCTTTGATCCATAAGCTTGAGTGTGTCAGGTGGCTCTGTGAAAATAAAGGTCATATTTTTTTCTGTGTCAGAGTAAAGTACACATTTACATTTGTATCAATAGGCCATTGCCTTTTCTTTTCTCTGAAATAAACCTGGAATAGTAGGGTCCCTGGGGTGGTTGAACCACTGGATATCTAATAACAGTTCAGTAATGTTCTTTGTGTAAGGTGGTGAGTTTTTCACTTTCTGGATTAGAGATGACAGTCGCATGCCATAGCAATTTCATTTCTTTTTCTGAACTGGCAGTATTGGCAGAATAAGCTAACTTGTTATAGTGACTTTCTGAGACTATTTAAAAAACTGTCCAGTCACAGTTCACTGTGGTAAAAAGTTATATATTTGAAATACAGTGTCAGACCTTTAAAAGGTGCAGCATATCTTTATTAGGGTTTGTGTACTTAACCAGACTTTCAAAAATTTTTCTTGAAAGGGCTTGTTTTCTCAGGATGGTAGAGCTAGAGCCTTGGACAAGCTGTTTTACTTTTTTTCTCTATTTTCCTTTTATAATACATCATTGGCAAAAAATGACTATTAGCTTTAAAAAGTTAGCATCCCACTTTATGGATGGCACCTTACTAGTTGTATCTTCAAAAAATATTTAAGGCAGAAAAAGTTAAATGGAAGGATAGATTATTGTCTTGTATGATACATTCAAACACTGCACATGCTTAGAGTTCTCAGAATAACTGCTGTGATCTTTCATTGTAGGTCATGTGAAACTAACAGACTTTGGACTATGCAAAGAATCTATTCATGATGGAACAGTCACACACACATTTTGTGGAACAATAGAATACATGTGAGCTGCATGTTGAAAGAAATAAAACTGGTTTGGGGGAGTAATAGCTAACTTTTACCTGGTTTAATAGTGTGCTATATATTTTCTATAGCATCATTTGGCTCCATATGTTGTTTTTAAAACTTCTAATTCAGATGATATGCAAATGGGTGAATTTTTTAGGCATATTATTTTTCTCATTGTAGGGCCCCTGAAATCTTGATGAGAAGTGGCCACAATCGTGCTGTGGATTGGTGGAGTTTGGGAGCATTAATGTATGACATGCTGACTGGAGCAGTAGGTGCACAGTTAAAAGCTGCATGTATTATGGTCTGTGCTGAGTAGTTATTAAATCATTATGGCAAGAGACCTTTCCTGCGCTTTTTAAAATGTTACTGATGGAGTTATTTAAAAAAAAAATTAACCCTAATAAAGCTTTATTGGTAGCAGAATGGGCCCCTATACTTTTAAAAACATTTTTGTTTAAATGATCTGTCGTGTCAGTCCTGTGAAAGAGATATAAAATAGATTACTGCCCTTATTTTATAAAAGGAGAAAGTAAAGCATAAAATCACATGGCTAACCTATTATAACATAGTTAATAGTGGAAACCCAGTTTCTTCTGAGATGTTGCTGTTTCTTCTGTCCCATTGCTTAAAAACTATAGATCTTTAGCAGTCAGCCCATATCACAGCATACATTTCTGATTTCTATGCATAGCTGACTAATTCAGAAAATGGATAGTTTTATTTTTTATATGCTAATTTTTCTCACTCTCTCTATTCCTAGCCCCCGTTCACTGGGGAGAATAGAAAGAAAACAATTGACAAAATCCTCAAATGTAAACTCAATTTGCCTCCCTACCTCACACAAGAAGCCAGAGATCTGCTTAAAAAGGTAGGACACAAAACGATGACCCTTAACTACTGGGATCTAAATAGATAGAATTGAACATACATTTTGAATAAAGAATCATACACATATATTAAACAAAAAAGCCTACAGTTTTTGCAGGTAAAGTACAAATCTGTTTAAAGATTTTCTTTCCTTGGGGTGCCTGGGTGGCTGGCCTTTGGCTCAGGCCATGATCACAGGGTCCTGAGATCAAGCCCCGCATTGGGCTCCCTGCTCAGCAGAAGTCTGCTTCTCCCTCTCCCTCTGCCCCTTACCCCCCGCCCCACCAGCTTATGTGTGCTTTCTCTCTGCTCTCTCTCAAATAATTAAAAAAAAAGATTTGTCCTTTTTATTCCCAAACAATATTTAGTAGTAATTAATAAAGCCTATTTTCTCAAAATAGAGAAGCAATATAGACAAGCAAATTCTGTAAATAAAAAATAATCAATTTGGCTAAGGTTCATAAATGTTTTGTTTTCCCTCCCTAAAGCTGCTGAAAAGAAATGCTGCTTCTCGGCTTGGAGCTGGCCCTGGGGATGCTGGAGAAGTTCAAGTAGGGATTGGCCTTTTTGGTGGTTTGAGGGGAAGATAGTGCTAATTCTTTGTATTTGTGAGGATTGTATGGAGTTGTCTAAAGTTTATTTTGTGGGGCATCTGGGTGGCTCAGTTGGTTAAGTATCCGACTCTTGGTTTTGGCTCAGGTCATGATCTCAGGGTCTTGGGATCGAGCCCTGTGTTGGGTCAGCTTGAGAGATTCTCCCTCTCCCTTCCCCTCTGCCCCTCCCCCCACTCATGTTCATGCTTTCTCTCTCTTAAATAAATAAAATCTAAAAAATAAATAGTATAGTTTATTTTGTGATTTGTAACTTCAAACAAACAGTTAATTTGTCAATCCAATGAAGTCTATTTGCCTTGACTTTTCTTCCTGTTCTTTTTTCCTAGGCTCATCCATTCTTCAGGCATATTAACTGGGAAGAACTGCTAGCTCGGAAGGTGGAGCCCCCTTTTAAACCTCTGTTGGTATGTATATATGAAACCATATAACTTGAAGGACCTGGTACTTACTTAGAATAAAATCTCAGAGCATTCAGAAACGTTATGTTTATATTAACAATTCAGAAAACTTTGGTTTATGTTCTCTTCAGAATCTTTATTCTGTACAGTCTTTTCAAGGACTACTGCCAGCAGCAATTGATGAGTATATTAACTATTTTTAAGTTGGTTGCCTAAGACAACTAAATATTTCAAGTAGTTAGAACTTTTTTGCTTGGTTTGCTTAATTCAACCGTATTTTATTTTTATGGAGTATAATCTTTTACTCTATTTTTTTATTTTTAACTTTTTTAAAGTTTTATTTATTTAAGTAATCTCTGTATCCCACATGGGGTTCAAAATCATGACCCTGAGATCAAGAGTCACATGCTCAGGGTACCTGGGTGGCTCAGTCAGTTAAGCATCTGCCTTTGGCTCGGGTCATGATCCTAGGGTCTCTCTCTCCCTGCTCAGTGGGGAGCCTACTTCTACCTCTGCCCGCTGCTTGCACTCTCTTTATCTCTCTCTCAAGTAAGCACATAAAATCTTTAAAAAAAAAAAAAAAAAAAGTCACATGCTCCTCTGACTAAGCCAGCCAGGTGCCCTTAATTTAATTAAATTTTTTTTTTTTTAAGATTTTTTATTTATTTGACAGAGAGGGACAGTGAGAGAGGGAACACAAGCAGGGGGAGTGGGAGAGGGAGAAGCAGGCTTCCCGCTGAGGAGGAACCCAGACGTGGGGCTCAATCCAAGACCCTGGGATCACGACCTGAGCAGAAGGCAGACACTTAACAACTGAGCCACCCAGGCACCCCTCTTTTCTTTTTTTTAAAGATTTCATTTATTTATTTGGCAGAGGGAGCAGCAGAGGGAGAGGGAGAAGCAGGCTCTCCACTGAGCAGGGGGCCTGATGTGGGGCTCGATCCCAGGACCCTGGGATCATGACCTGAGCTGAAGGCAGACACTTAACCGACTGAGCCACCTAGGTGCCCCTTATTTTTTATTTCTAAATTGAAGTTTAGTTGACATAGAATAATATATAAGTTTCAGGTATATAGCATAGTGATTTAACAGTTACATACATAACATAATGCTCACCAGGGTAAGTGTGGTTACCCTCTGATTCAACCCTGTTTTGAATTTGATTTTCTGGGAATTTTTTTCTTCAAAATATAGTATAAATGTGTGTTAGTTTGCTAGGGTTGCTGTAACAAAGTACCACAAACTAGGTGGCTTACACAGCAGAAGTTTATTGTATTACAGTTCTGGAGACTAGATGTCCAAGATAATGTATTGACAGGCTTGGTTCATTATGAAGGCTGTGAGAGCCTTCTGTTCCACTTTGTGCGTCTCTCCTAGCTTCTGGTGGCTTGCTAGCAATCTTTGGCATTCCTTGGCTTGTAGGCACATTACCTGATCTCTGACTTTATGTTTGCATAACAATGTGTTTATGAGTACATGAGTTAGTGTGTTAGTTCTTGTCTTTCTTCCACCTCAGAATTTGAGAAAATAGTTTATTTTTCTATTTCTTGGAATGAAGGTGGAGGAGGAGGAAGATAACGATGATGATAATTTGGTTCTGGAGCACAAGGTGACTTGCTTTAAAATTTTCACATATATAATTTTAAGGAGGATAATTAACCCTTCTGTACCAATGGTCCAGCTTGTCAGGTCATCTTGTTTAAACATAAACAGAACTGCTAGCTATCATCACAACTAAAAAGCTGACAGTTTCCCCAGTTTCTTTTGTTTTCTTTTCCTCCCTGTTGGTTTCTTTTAATAAGAATTCAGTCAAGGTCTATACAGTTTGGTTATTGTATCTCTTAGGTCTCTTTCCAACCCCCTCTCGATTCCTCTCCTGAGTATTTACTGAAGAAACTGGACTATATGTCCTATAGGGTTTCTAACTTTGATTTTGCTGATTTTAACCCCATAGTGTCATTGACCATATTCATCTGTTCCCTGTATTTCCAAAAACTAGTATTTAGATTTAAATACTTAATCTGCTTCAGATTAAACTTTTGATGTTGTATATTTTAGTCAGGAGGCATAATGTGTATTTGTATTTTTTTTAGTGATGTTGTGATCATTGCCAACATTAGTGATGCTTAGGTATGGTCAATTTGGCAAGGTTTGGAGACAAGTTGTCATAACTTGGGGAGGGTATGTTATTGGTTTGCAGTGGGTCGAGGCCAGAGATGCTGCTAAACATCCTCTTTTACATAGGACAGACCCCTACAACAAGAATTATCAAGCCCAAAATGTCAGTAGTGCTGAGATTCAGAAACTCTGGCCTAGTTTCAGGATTTCAGTGGGGGTTTGCAAAATTGTCTTATTCTAATACTATTATTGATTCCTCATTAGTGAATTTTTCCCTAAAGAGAAACCTACATTGTTCATACAGGAAAGGCAGGATGAATGTTTGTTTCTTTCCCATTTTTCAAAATAATAAATTAGTTCTTGCGGGCGCCTGGGTGGCTCAGTTGGTTAAGCGACTGCCTTCAGCTCAGGTCATGATCCTGGAGTCCCTGGATCGAGTCCCGCGTCGGGCTCCCTGCTTGGGCAGGGAGCCTGCTTCTGCCTCTGACCCTCCCCCCTCTCATGTGCTCTCTTTCTCGTTCTCTCTGTCTCAAATAAATAAATAAAATCTTAAAAAAAAAAAAAATAATAAATTAGTTCTTTAACATCTTCCAAAATTGACCAGTTCTTTGATTTTTTTTCAGTATAATTATGAACTTACGCCTTTTGGGGCGCCTGGGTGGCTCAGTCGTTAAGTGTCTGCCTTCGGCTCAGGTCATGATCCCAGGGTCCTGGGATCAAGCCCCGCATCAGGCTCCCTGCTCAGCGGGAGGCCTGCTTCTCCCTCTCCCACTCCCCCTGCTTGTGTTCCCTCTCTGTCTCTCTCTCTGTCAAATCAATAAATAAAATCTTAAAAAAAAAAAACTATGAACTTATGCCTTTTAATATATTTGTGTTTCAATCCATTGCAGTAATTTTTACTGATGCTTAGTTTTTATCATCTTTTGACACTGGGTTCCTTAGCTCTTTTGACATGACCACAAAGTCTGATGTTGCCAGAGAGAAGGAATTAAACAGATGTGGTGGTTAGATTTAGGTGATGTTTTTCATAAGAAAATGTACTCATGCAGAGTAGAATATCATTTTTGCTCCTTGAGAAATCTGTAATAGGATGAAATAAGCTATGGGAAGAAGCTTTAGAGCATTTTACAAATGTGTTTTGTGTTCTGTTTCAGTAGTTTTTCAGGTTTATTATAAACCTGCAGTGGCCAGCTGAGCAAATTATATCTAATAGGGAATTTAGCCAGTGGACTAGGCGCCCTGAAGCTTTGTAAGTGGGGAAGATTGACATTCAAAATTTTTTTGACAGATTTTTTTTTAAAAAAATGATGAGCGTGTACTAAAATCTACTTTAATAAATGCTTAAAAATTGAAGATGTAATTTGACCTTTGAAACTTTCCACCTGGGGGCACCTGGGTGGCTCAGTCGGTTAAGCGTCTGCCTTCAGCTCAGGTCATGAGCTTGAGGTCCTGGGATTGAGCCCTGCGTCGTGCTCTCTGCTCAGCAGGGTGTCTGCTTCTCCCTCTCCCTCTGCCCCTCCCCACCATTTGTGCTCTCTCTAGCTCTCTCTTTCAAATAAATAAAACCTTAAAAAAGAAAGAAACTTTCCACCAATTTATTTCCAATTTATTTTTCAGTCTATGCCTGCTATAACTATTCTGATATTTTATTACAATCAAACCCTATGAAGAGTTCTAGCTAGAGCCTTCTCTAATATAAGTCATGTATTTGATTGATACGTATAATATAGACTATTCATCGTTTTCTAATTTTGTTTTTCGCAAAGCAATCTGAAGAGGATGTGAGTCAGTTTGATTCAAAGTTTACACGTCAGACACCTGTTGACAGCCCAGATGACTCAACTCTCAGTGAAAGTGCCAACCAGGTCTTTCTGGTAAGTGAAAGAATTTCCATGTAGCCATGAGAAATTTAAGTATTAGGATGGACCCTTTTCAATAAGAAAATTCAATTTGTTTGCTTTGCAGTTGATGTAGATAACCTGGGATGCTATTTTTTATTAAGTTAATTTACAACTTGCTAAGTTAGAAAATGGATTCCCATAATCCATTATTCCATTTCAGCAGTTAGAGTGGGACTGTCTGATTCTTTGGAGTATATGATTCCCTTTTTAGATGGGCCACTGACTTAAAATGATGTTTGGCTCAGTATCTCAATTGGAAGTCACACCATTACGGGGCGCCTGGGTGGCTCAGTCGTTAAGCGTCTGCCTTCGGCTCAGGTCATGATCCCAGGGTCCTGGGATCAAGCCCCGCGTCGGGCTCCCTGCTCGGCAGGAAGCCTGCTTCTCCCTCTCCCACTCCCCCTGCTTGTGTTCCCTCTCTGGCTGGGTCTCTCTCTGTCAAATAAATAAATAAAATCTTTAAAAAAAAAAAGGAAGTCACACCGTTACAACAGTAGAAGAGCTCACTGTAACTGTTCTATTCCTGGAATAGCTACAAATTTTTGGTACATTTAGTGTAACTTTGTAGGGGATTTTTAACCTGTTAATTATGAATATTTGACATCAAAATATATTGGTTCATATGTAATAGTAAATTATTTGTAGAAATATCTGTGTTGATTTGTACCTTGTCGCCTCAGAAAAGCAAAGCTTTTAGATTTTTAGATTTTTTACTTTTATTTTATTCAATTAATTAATTTATTTTTAAGATTTTTTTTATTCATCTGAGAGAGAGAGATACAGAGCGAGCATGAGCAGGGGAGAGAGGCAGAGGCAGAGGGAGAAGCAGACTCCCAGCCGAGCCGGGAGCCTGACGTGGGGCCCGATCCCAGCACCCTGGGATCACGACCCGAGTTGAAGGCAGATGCTTAACCATCCGAGCCACCCAGGCACCCCAGATTTTTAGATTTTTTTTTTAGAGCTTTTAGATTTTGATCAACAAAAACCTCATTTTATATCATTTCCTTTGTCTACATAAAGTGAATCTCTTAATTTTTTATGTTTAAGATTTTTTATTTATTTATATGACAGAGAGAGAGAGCACAAGCAGGTGGAGTAGCAGGGAGAGGGAGAAGCAGGTTCCCTGCTGAGCAAGGAGCCCAATGCGGGGCTCGATCCTAGGACCCTGGGATCATGACCTGAGCTGAAGGCAGTTGCTTAACCAACTAAGCCACCCAGGTACCCCTCTTAAAAACTAATAAAAAACAGTAACATCCCACTTACCTGGAGACTGTGGTCAGAGCAACTTCAGTTCAATAATTATTTAAATTCCTATCACAGAATTAAAGGAAATTGAAAGATGATTAAGGCACAGCCTGGCCCTCTTGGTAGTTAGAGCTTTAGCCCACTGGACTATGTGGGGAAATGGTTTCTGAAGCATATGCGCTATAGAATTGCACCTCACTTGTTAGGACTTCACCCAGAGGCTTATTGAGTCTTCTTACTATAACTCAAAATGCCTATTCATAGGTGACTAGAATAATAAATGGAAGGGAAGTTAGGTGGAGGACTGATTGTTAAAGGGATAAACATTTACAGCAAGAGAAATGACACCTGGTAGTCTGATAGCAAGGTCCAAGAAAGAACTAAACCTAATAAAACTGCATAATTGCCTGTTATAATTGAGGGTTTTCACAATGTTGACCCTTATACATCAAGAAAATACCAAATCTATCCAATCATTGTTATAAAACCAGAGAGATCACACATGCCGAGTTAGAGAATTCTATTTTTACTTTGGCCTAATAATGAGAAACTGTTTGGGGTGTGATAATCTTAGTTGCTCATGGGCATGTGGGCTAGAAACACTAGAATTTTCTTTGCATTCATCTTGGTATTTAATATCTTAATGTGAAGCCTACATTTTCCTATTTTGTTTTTCTTTCAACAAAGTAGAATATTGTTTACTGGCATATGGGACTCAATAGAATTCTGCCTTCCTGAGGTCTGTGCCTCAAGAAATGGCTGGAAAGAAGCTGACAGGTGTGAAATGAGACTGGGGAAATGGGAGGACCCAGAGTGGTGATTTTAGGTGTGCACTGTTGTTTTGGTGTGTCAGAGACTGAAACCACATTTTCTTAATGTATATGACAAAACGCCATTCTGGAGTCTACAATTACTATCTTTCAGGGTTTTACATATGTGGCTCCATCTGTACTTGAAAGTGTGAAAGAAAAATTTTCCTTTGAACCAAAAATCCGATCACCTCGAAGATTTATTGGCAGCCCACGAACACCTGTCAGGTATTCAGACTTTGTTATTCTCACATCTTTTTTATTTTTTTTAACCTGGAAGAGTATGCTTAAGAAATTTATGCCACATTACATAAATGAAAGATCTGTCATATTCTCTGTGGTTGACATAAGCACAGCATCTACGTCTTGTATTGTATGCTATATAGTTTACCTTCCCTCCTGTGAAAGTAAGCTGCTGCACTGGCAAATGTCGTCTTTACCCATTCATTCAACATTTATTGTATACCAGGGGCTGTGTTGCATGATGGGGATACATGATTAACATAGGAATTATCCTTGTCCTGATGAAGCTTACAATTTAGTGAGAAGAGAGTTAAAATAACCAAAGAAGGAAACATAAGAATTATATAATCACAAGTAATGTCAAGTTACTATATGAAGAAAAAAAGTGCGGTGGTAGCTAAGAATAACAGGGCGGCTCGTATTCATGGTGGTCAGAGAAAGGCCTCCCTGGTGAAGTAACATCTAGGAATGAAGAGAAAAAGCCATCCATACAAAAAATAAAAGTATAGGATGTTACAGGTAGAGCAACAGCCCATGCAAAAGCCCTAAGGGAGGAAAAACTTGGTCTTGGAAATGAAAGGTCAATGTTCCTGATGTGTGGTGAATGACGAAGAGAAAGGTTTGGAGAAGTATTTTATCTTAAATGCAATGGGAAGCTATTTTAAGTCGGGGGAGTAAAATGATTTTAAAAAAAAAAGTATCACTGAGGGTTTTAGAGAGGCAGGTATAGAGGTAAAGAGACCAGTTAGGAAACTCTAGCAGTTAGTCTAGGGGAGCAATGGCCTTTGTACTAATTCACACAAAAATAAAATTAAATAAAAATAAATGTCACATTACCCCACTCCCTTGAAATTTAAGGGAAATATTTCTTGTTGAGATAATCCTTGAGATAAATGAATGATAGCTCTTCCTTGTCTTAAAGCCCAGTCAAATTTTCTCCTGGGGATTTCTGGGGAAGAGGTGCTTCAGCCAGCACGGCAAATCCTCAGACACCTGTGGAATATCCAATGGAAACAAGTGGAGTAGAGCAGATGGATGTGACGATGAGTGGGGAAGCTTCAGCACCACTTCCAATACGACAGCCGAACTCCGGGCCATACAAAAAACAAGCTTTTCCCATGATCTCCAAACGACCAGAGCACCTACGTATGAATCTATGACAGAGCAAAGATTTTAATGAATTTAAGGCAAAAAAGGTGGGGAAGGGATGTGTGAGCATCCTGTAAGGTGAAACAAGAAGACTCAAAATGACAGTCTTGAAGAGTCAGTGTCATTACATTTGAACACTTCGGACAGAGGAAAAATAAACATGGATTTTAAAAAAATCAATCAATGGTGCAAAAAAAAAAAAACAAAATAGTATTGTGGAACTTTTAGGCACATCAATTAATTGATTCCTAGCGACATCTTCTCAACCTTATCAAGGATTTTCATGGCTCGAACTGACAGTATTAAGGGTAGGATGTTGCTTCTGAATCACTGTTGAGTTCTGATTGTGTCGAAGAAGGGTTATCCTTTCATTAGGCAAAGTATGAAATTGCCTGTAATACTTGCAACTAAGGACAAATTAGCATGCAAGCTTGTTCAAACTTTTTCCAGCAACATGGAATCAAAGACAAAAGAAACTTAACAATTGATGTTTTACGTGCAAACAACCTGAATCTTTTTTTTATATAAATATATATTTTTCAAATAGATTTTTGATTCAGCTCATTATGGAAAACATCCCAACTTTAAAATGCAAAATTATTGGTTGGTGTGAAGAAAGCCAGACAACTTCTGTTTCTTCTCTTGGTGAAATAATAAAAATGCAAATGAATCATTGTTAACCACAGCTGTGGCTCGTTTGAGGGATTGGGGTGGACTTGGGGTTTATTTTCAGTAACCCAGCTGCAATACCTGTCTGTAATACTAGAAAAAAAAATCTATTTAATCATTTCTACTTGCAGTACTGCTATGTGCTAAGCTTAACTGGAAGCTTTGGAATGGGCATAAATTGTATGTCCTACATTTCATCCTTGTCCTGGGCCTGCATTGCACTGGAAAAATATCGCCACCTATTCTTATACCAGTATTTGGTTCAAGATGCCAAATATTTTCAGCCCATGGCTGAAGAAGGATGAAAAAGAGTCAGGATAAAATGCATACTGAGGGCAGTAAAGTGAGGAAGAGAGGGAGATCCAGGGGAAGAGGGTGTTGTCATGTTCCACTCTCTGTGTCTAATCTCTTTACAGCAAATTGGTAAGATTTTTAAGTTTTACTTTTAACTGTTTTTGCTGTCTACCTTCCTTACATTTTTTTTCCTCAACAGTTTTAAAAGGGAAAAAAAAAGTATTTTTCTTTCTCCTATACCGGGGCTACATTTTTTGATTGTAAAAATATTTGATGGCCTTTTGATGAATGTCTTCCACAGTGAATAAGAAAACTTAGTGGCTTAATTTAGGAAATATGTTAACAAGACACTGTGTTTTTGAAATTGTAACAAAATCGACATAAGTGATATACAGGTACAAAGAATAAAAATAAAGGTAACTTTACCTTTCTTAAATACTTCCTGCCTTAAAGAGAGCATTTCCATGACTTTAGCTGGTGAAAGGGTTTAATATCTGCAGAGCTTTATAAAAATACATTTCAGTGCATACTGGTATATAATAGATGATCATGCAGTTGCAGTTGAGTCTTACCACCTCTTTTTGTTTTTTATAATGTCTTCAGTCTGAGTGTGCAAAGTCAGTTTGTAATATTTTGCAACCCTACAATTTTTTTAAATAGATGCTGCTTGCTATGTTCTTCAAACCTTTTTGAGCCATAGGATCCAAGCCATAAGATTCTTTATGCATGTTGAATTCAGTCAGAAAAGAGTAAAGCTTTGCTTATTTAAATGGCAATTCGAGTGAGGTAAGATGAAATCCTATGACATTAGGCAAAATAGAACCATGAAGAATGATTGGAAATACACCTTTTCAATTGTGGCAATAAATGAAAGAATTGGTAACAGTTCATCTGTGGACAGAAAGCCTTTTTTTTTTTAATCACTTCCTCTAGACCCCCTCCTCCCTCATTGCAGCAGCCTACTGAGAACTTTGTAACTGTAGCTAGTAAATTAGAAGCTACAGTGATGAAAAGGGCAGAAATTGTACTTAGAGTGCAGATCTTTGTTCTCTGACAATTTATGTCTGAAAAAACAGAACCCAAAAGCTGTGGTGATACGTACAGGCTTTATTTCAGACTCTAAATGGCTTGTACTACTCTGATACTTGTTTGCAAATGTGTTTACTAACTGTAGTGTTGACTGCCTAACCAAATTCCAGAGAAATTTGTACACCAAAATAGTCCTCCTCAGTCCTATTTACTAGTAATACTTGCACTGTGATTGGCTGGCTCTAACCGCCCCGTGAACTATTTTCATAATTCGTACTACCAGCAGTAGTGGCACACTGCAACTTTTCTGCATAAAAAGCATTAATTGCATACCTGCCATCCATACAAATGGTTTTTCAAACTTAACATTGAGTGAAATTAATTTCCTATGCTGTGGCAAGTTTACGGAGAAATTGTGTTTCATAAATGGACATCCCTACTATGACTGTGAAAACATGTCAAGTGCCACTTTAGTGTCACAGACAGAAAGCACACACCTATGCAATATGGCTTACCCTGTATTTATTTGTAAAAATCCAAGCATAGTTTAAAATATATGATGTCAATATTACTAGTCTTAAGTTTCTTAAGAGGATTCTCTCTGATTATTCCAGGTAAGTATATAAAAGAGATTAAGTGCTTTTCTTTCATCACTTATTTTCTTTAAAATCAGCTGTTACAGGATATTTTTTTACTTTATACATGTTGTTTTTTAATTAAAATATAATCACTGAGAACTGAAGTTTACTAATTTTGATTTTATAAGGTTTGTAGCATTATAGAATAAACTGGGATTTATAAACCAGCTGTGATTAACAATGTAAAGAATTACTGAACTTGAACCAGATTTTTAGGAAAATTATGTTCTTTTTCCCCTTTATGGTCTCACCTAATTTGAATCCTTCAAGAAGAATTTTTCCATACTATTTTTGAGATAGAAGATAATTGGGGGGTGGGGGCTAAGAATGCATGTATGATACTCCATAAATTCAACATTCTTTAATAAATGATTATAAACAAGATGCATCTTCAGGAGTATTAATATATTGAGCCTTGGATTTTGTGTTTAATACAGGACCTAACTATTTTGGTTACTCAGTCATATGGTTCCTAGCTTACAAGGGTTAGATCTTAAGATTATTCCCATGAGAAATGTTGAATTTATGAAGAATGGATTTTTGAGGCTTTGAAAATGGTTAATTTCTCAAATAAAAACATCAGTGTCCAAACATCTACCCTTTTTCATAGGAGTAGACACAGCAAGCTGGACAAAACAATCATAAAAGTACCTGTCACACCATGACTTGTGGTCTGTTGCTGATCGATAAAAAGCTTTTCTTGTGTGATTCTTAATTTATCACTACAGCACAAGTATTATCTCAGTGGATTATCTGAAGTAACATCTGAAAGATGGGTTCATCTGTGTTTGCTCTTTAAGCTATTATTTTTTTTTCCTATCCCAAGTTGGCTTTGCATCTATCAGAGTAAATAAATTCTTCAGCTGCCTTATTAGGAGTGCTATGAGGGTAACACATTTTTCTGCTTTTCATCTTGTATTTAGTTTACTGTACTAAGTATTTTGATTTTGGATTGAATGAATGTAAATAGAAATTAAATGCAAATTTGAATGAACATAAAATAGAAGTGATTTTTTTTATTATTCTAAGATAGGAAGAAATATCAATCAGGTGCACAAATGGTTTCAGTAATTTTTTTGCGCTAACATACCAGGTATGTTCAGGTTCTCGTATTTAATAAACTGCTTATATATGTGAGGACTGACAGTTGTAAAACTGTTTCTGCTGAGCAATTTAAGCTACTTAAATATATAACAAGTTTTAGAA